TGAGTTAATAGTATATAAATTCGGGAATACAAAACATATGCCTTCATAAAAATGGGTGAAATTTCAAATGAAATTCATGCATAACCCGTGAGCACATTGAAAAAGTGATAGACTTCATCATGATCCATCACAGCGACGTTCGTCGAGCACACAGCACAATGCACTGGCAGAAATGTGTCCTCTGCAGAATCCTGGAAATCAGTACCACTATTTTTCACCATTACAAAAACAATACCTAACATAAATATAAAACTTGACCCTCCAAAAAACACAAAGTCTCGATCTCTAAAATATCATACTTTGAAATATCCTCAGGACTACAGTGTTCAGCACATTCGTCAAACAAAAGTATTTTCATGAAAGATACTGTGTATGTAAATCATCAACTATACATTCAAAAAGCATCCCGCACCTGTATCCTTAACCTTATAAAGCTACTATAATCGAAAAAAAGAAAGAGGAACGGGATTTTTGTCTCTCGAGACAATAACATAAGCAGCAGAACCTTTGCATAAAGCAAACTCTGCTAGTGGTAACACATAGGTTATGTTATTACCGTTTAAAATGGAAGTCCTCTGGTGCTTACCGGTAACTGAGCAGGGTCCACACCCATCTTTCTCATTTTTTGGCGTTCACGACGTCTTTCTTTACCGGTCTTCTCTATTTTGATAGTTGTTTGATCAACCCGGCAATTCTCGACGAACATCGCCCTGAAAGAGTTCAACACCATCATACCATGAAAACCAGGCAGTCGCATTTTCAAGGGTGGGAAGGCTCGATTTTTATGTTTAAAATAGAATAAGCACCTGTACTGATCATTATAAATTTCATGTCGTTGGCAATCCCTTGTCAGTAGCACCATGCATCCTGGGCAGGACAAGACAGCGTCAGAGTTGCCGTCGATGCGAGGCCTAGAATATGCCATTTCGAATCAAGGCACACAGCTGATCAAATAATGTTCCCAATAAAACTGGATAACTATTAGAATGTTAGGAACAATACAAACAGTTTTGGATTCTTGGCAAAGGCGCATGTAAAATAGAGGTCATCCTATACCCGCTGGAAGTATAATAGATAGATATTAATAACTAATTCACGACTATATAAAAGGGTCCAAGTCATATAAGGTGATTACACAATGTTTCCAAGGCGGCTGCCTTGTAATTATAAGGTACACAGCTTAAAAATAATAGATATCACAAAATATTACTCATGAGAGCGGCTCATTTCAAGCAATTCCTACTGTGAATCCGATCTTAGAAAGTAGAACCGTATTTGGCTTGTACACACGTCACGGATATAGAACATGGTGGGAAAAACTTGATCCCTTCCTGCGTTCCAAACGGTTTGGTACCAATTGGTCAACTGCGGGGGATAAAAGGTTGGCTAAGGTGGATATCAACCCGGGATTCGAACTTGCGACAAAGTTTGTGTGATACTACGCCTCTATACGCCTCCACCCTTGCATTTATAATCTCATAAACAAGGCAGGATTGCAGCCACGAAAGCAGGAAATCTAGAACTTAATACTATCATTACTGCTCGTTACCCCGTCTGAACCAAATGAACCCTGAAGACGCCAACTAGAGACCTTCCTTTCCCCCCTCTTCGACGAACCAAAATAAAAGAAACCCTCCTAGGAAAGAAATGCGTACACAAAAATGGTCTCTTCAAAAGTACATCAGCGATTTACCTATTTAGAATGTCACCAAAAATGTGAACGAACAGTAATAGCAACTGAATAAAAAACAAAAAAGTGTGAAGAATGTTGCATTTTGTTTCGGAGATGTGCGAATCCTCACAGCTTTTTAAATTCGAGAGATGACTGTAGAAAAGCACTGAACGTCATGAAGCTAACCATTTCGGTACGGCTTGATCAGGGTTGAGCATCAGCAGTACAGTTATGACTGTTCATGAAACCGGCCAATGCAGGTTGGCACCGATCCGACGAACATCCGAGATCCGAGAAGGCATCATGGCGGAAGCAGTAGTTCAGTTGCGGAGATAGAGGCAAGGTCTGGATCTTTTACAGCTGTACTGATCCATAAAGGTAGACAAGAAACCAGATGACTAGTACTCGAGTACAAATAGTAAAGAGTTTCGAACTTTCCGAGTAAGCAAGCCGTGGTACCCAGTGCTGCTAGAGCGCTAAGCAGAACTCTCCGACTGGTTGCCGGATTTCGATGACTTGCCGGTTTTGTACCTGCCACACTGGCGATTCAGTCTGTTCCGAATTCTATTCGCTTCTAGACGAGCGGCTCGTTGTTCGGCTGTTTCTCTTTCACGTTTTTTCATCTGTGAAAGTCGATTTCGCTCCCGTCTCAGCTCTTTTTCGTTGGACCTCTCCTCTCTTCGCCTTTCCGCTTCCCTTCTTCTCTGTAGTCGCATCTCACGTTCCTCTGGGGTTTCCAGGGATGATCGTTCTTGTCTGTAGAGCCACATTTGCTCAAGCCGCTTTTCGTGTTCCTCTTCACTTTCTCTGGCACGACGCAATCTCGCTCTCTCACGTTGCATTCGTAGTCTTTCTGCCCTTTCCTCCTCTGTTTCCATGGCTCTCTTTCTTCGCAATCGTTCCGCTTCAACTGCTGATCGAGATCTAAAGAGTAAACGTAGGAGACTTTACAGTAAATACTGAAAATGGTTGCTCCTACATCATTTTGCGATTTGCAATAAAACTTTGTTCAGCAACTTTTGTCGCACGAAAACTACTCGAAGACGAAGGGGTCTACTACAGTATGGATGGGCAATTTGGAAGCTGAAGACTCTGCTATAAACGGAACCGTCAAGTGTTATGAACCCATTAAATAGTCATGCTAATTCCCTGCATATGGGGAGCAGCAATGAGCGAGGTGAAATGAGTCACGACACAATCAGTGGCTGCTTTCATAGTCCACGTTTTGGCCCGCGACCGATCGCGTGACCGGGTCTCGGGCCAAATCGTGGACTATGAAAGCAGCCAGTGAGGTGACATGTGCCGCGCATTTTGCCACTTGCCATATGCGAAAATTCCGTATCCCGATCTAGTGGCACAAAGGATACATTCAAACTGAGGTACTGATCAAAATATTGGCCAAAAATGGTATGAGTCATAACTACCACTGAGAATTTGAAAAGAAGCCATTGTAGCTTCAGCATTCAGTTTTAAATTTAGCAAAGAAATAGTTGCAAACAATCTTGTTCCTCGGCATTCTAATTTACCGCTATCAACGAAATCAATAAAGAGTCCACTAATTTTTAAGAGCAGTTTATTCACGCCAGAACCTTAGTTCCATGATATTTTTACTGAAACCTTTCATGTCTGCAGTAACAGACCACATTTTCTGCCTTTTTTTCTTGTCTTACCATCGATAGCCGAAAATTGAATCACACAGGTCTTTTACAACATTACAATATAGTTTTTTGCTAACCCACTCTTAACGCCAGTAAGCTATCCAACTGTTCTACATACAAAGGTGAGAGCGTATTATAACAGTACCTTGCTTCTTTTTCATTTTTTGGTGCATTACTGGTGCCTGTCGTTCGTTTACGCTGCTGTTGCATCCATTGCTCATTTTGGTCATCTTCATCCGGGTCATAAAATTCGGGTAACTCCTGAAACTGAGCGCTAATTACATCATTTAACCAAATGTTAACAAGGAGTGACAAAAACTACTGACGGCTTTCACATCCTTCATTGTTTGCTTTGCCGCCTTTTTGATGGGATTGTCCTCTTCGGTCGCTTCACCAGATTCCTCTGTGCGGTCCGTTTTCACATTTGCATCCATTTCAGATGGTTCGCTCTTCACAGACGACGTTTCCATCTTAATTTGGTAACAAATACGAAATATAGCCTATGCCAGTGTCGCATGGATGCTTCGTGTTTTGTCAGGGGCTAGACCACTTGTCGGGGTCAATGTAGGTGAGGTGGCATCAGAAGGTTCCTAGCACAAACTCGACCATGGATAACTTCGTTGATAAAAGGTCTTCAAGCCGGACGAAACGCAGGAAGAGGGTCAGAATTATTCTTACCACCCAATCGTTCCGCCCATGTAATTATCAATGAGATTTGAGGGAAGTATCAACAAGATAAAGAAAAAGACAGACCGAGTGATCGGTTCGGAGCGCTGACGGCTGACCGGTTGATGAACTGCTAGGGCGTACTGTATCGACCTCCATTTCTTCCATTTCTTCGATCTTGGGAAGCGGTTCTAGCTGAGCTTGCACATCCAATCTCACTCGTTTTGTAGGAACTGACTGTTCTGCATCATCTGCAAATCCGTAAGAATAGTAATGAAGGCTTTTACAATAAAGATCAACATCAACAAGTCAATTTTTGATTTTACCTCTTCTATCACCACTACTTCCGCCTTCGTTTTCGTCTTCGTTGTCACTCACTAGCGCAGGCACCTCATCTTCCTTGCGTTTTAGAGACTGGAATATCAGATTGTTTTCAAATCGCACTTTGCATATAAAAACAGTGCCCAAGAGGAAATGAAGGGCCAGTTAGTGAAAAAGGCTACACCAGCGGCAATAGGCAATTTTGCAATCCCGAAGGCGTAACTATTTTTCCATAACGTGCGCATAACACAAATAAAAGAATCGTCAATTCACTGAGACCATAAAAAGGAGGTGTATAGGAGGGGAATATAGCCAAGCAGAAATTAGCTTCAGCTGTTCCCTAGCGATGAAATGAAATAACGTTGACACGGAGTAGCTCAAGGCGCAAAAAAAGTTATACCCTTATAGATTAGTCACTGGACACAGACTGTTAATTTATCACAAGTTGAACATATATCAATGCGTGCCATCATAAGATACCCCTGAGTAAGCAAGTAGAGCCTTGTCTCCTCTGAAAAAAGGGAAGCTCACAATGGCGTTTTCTAGAAGAACTAGACGGAGAGGACAATAGCTAACCCGTTTTACTTTTCACGGCTAAGTGTTTTCTTTAAAATTTTCATGTTTTGAACCCTCTATGCAGTGCATAAGCATTCGAATATTTGGAGTGACAACAGTTCCCAACAATTAACGTTCCATATGACGGGGCCCTACCAGATGTACTAGCAGGTCGCGCACAATCGTATACGCGGTAGTGGGCTCGATTTCGGGATCGATATCTGCCTAGGCCAACCAAGCCTTCTATCCTCCGATGTAGGATAGTGGTAACAGGTTATTCTCGAAGGATAAAAGCGTGACTTGTATATCGACTGGTCTTTGTACGGGCCACGTACGCATTCAATACTTCACTACGATTCTGAGTGGAAGTCGAATGCGAGGGCGCATTCCTCAGACGGGATTGCCAAAAGCCTTTATCCTTGATATGACGGCTTTCCGCATGACGGAGAAAGTGTAAAAAACAAAATGTGTTCCAATGCTGTGGTGCGGAAAATGTAATTGTCTAAGTTGAGAAGGTTTTGAAATAACATTACAGCAGCTTATGACCACAGGAAACAGAGATACAGGCCTCAAAACAAATTTGAAAGGCCTTCTTTACCAATGTTGGCCCAGAACGTGTCCACTGTTTCTGTTAAGCAGCGTATGCATCGCACCCTTCGCAATACACTACCGCACCAAAAACTGTGCTCGTGTGTTAAAGACACTATGTGCCTATCAGATAAAGTAAAAATTTCCTTCAATCGATGAAAGTATCCAACCCAATAAGCATTACCGAAAAAGCTTCATTCCTCTTCACTTGTATACTATTTTTCATCGCCCCAAGAGCGAAAAGTTTCTCCAATTTCCTGTGCTACTGCAGCATGATCATTTAGAAGGCTCTATCAATGAAATGAGTAATTTCGAAATACACAATCTGCGTGCAAACCCACTTCTTCTTGAGTAATCGCTGCTGCCCCTCGTTGTTTTGTATTACCACTGAGATGTTCATTAGCGTAATCTGTAATCAACTGGTCCAGTTCGCATTCCATGTCCATTTCGAATTCCGACTTCACTGCTAAAAGCAAACGTCATCATGCCACACGTTTAACTGATATCTTTTGTAGAATTCTGAAAATTTTTTCTTAAATATCCTGTGATAAGTTTTCTAGGGTACAATCCCTTGAATTGCAACCCCTCCACCGCCTTCCCTGAACCTTACCTAAAGCGTTACAAGACTAGGATGGGAAAAATCAGCGAAAATTTACTGGAGGGAGTGCCTTTCCCTAAAGAAAAGCACAAGGACTATACAATGTACATGTAATATAATAGATTATTTATTTTATAGCAAGACCCGTCCAAGCCGAGAAGTTCACGCTATCAAAGGAATTGGTCCATACTACTAACTCGAAATAGCACAATCGATGTTTTTTGTTAACTCCGGCAATCAAGAAGTAAAAAAAAGCACGTCAATATGCTTCGGTCATCCTGAGCCGAAGACCAATGTATTATGTGAAAACGAAGAGCTGTTTTTCGGTCTCAACCTATCAGTGAATAGATACACATGCAGCTTCCAATAACAGTGAAGTGAAAGTATTTGAGAACTGCTTTCATGCGACAGCTTACAAAAATAAACAGAATGTGACGCAAAGCTCTCGTTTGAAGGATCAATCACGATAACAAAGAAGCAATATAAAGCTCACGTTTGTCCGAGCGGCGTTTTTGAACACATTCTCTTTTTATACCAGCCAATTTGCATAGCTCCTGCTGTAGCTCATCATCAGAACTGAAAACCTCCAAACATGAAACCAGCAAGAAAAGAAAGCCAAAACCCAATGATATTTCTGCTCGTCATTCATCGAAAGTAAAAAACAAGATAAAATAAAGATAGAGATTGGTGTAAGGTTTGATTCTGACATTATAGGAGCAGAGCACTTCATGCTGTGCTGGCTTTCAAGGATATGTACGAGCTGAAGTGAATATAAACCCGAGAATCGAATTTGGTTCTTATTTTTGTCAAGAAACGCAACCTCAGCTCCTCTTCACTGTCTCGCCCGACGCCTCCTCGTGCCTCTTCACCCATATAGTAATCTTCCTCAAGAGCTTCAAATGGCCGCAGCTTTCCATTATTTTCCATCTAAAACACCTATGAACTTTTTTCCGGTAGAATAAAAGCTATTATAGGAAACGTAACGTATCAGGTTGATGCATATATTTTCCCCCACGTTTATTCCTTTCGTATTTCGTTTGCATGAATGTTGGTACTTCACAACATCACTTACGTGTGAAGGTGCATGATATTCCTCCATCATACTAGTTACTATTCACCAACCCTGCATTTGAAGGTCACAATGCCGCACAATTTATTTTCACAAGTTCTTCACAGAAGATGAGGTCAGAAAGGCACTCGACGACTTCCCAAGTCTCAGCCCCAACTCTCCGGGAGAATGGAAACAACAAGCTGCCTGAGCATTGGCGTCGAGCAGTGGATGGTGAAGGTGCATACCTTTATCTTCAGGCTGATTCGATATTGAGATATTTACAAAAAAGTCGGGGGAAAGAACTCATGCATCAACCTGATACATCGACAAGATCATTTTTACCATCTAAAGTCGCATAACTTCAAAAAATTCATGTATATCGAAGGTATGTACAAATGGTATTAACCGTTCCTCAGTGATATAAAAGACACAAACGAGAATATAATTTATTCAATAGACATTTACAAAATCCATTTTGGTCTATTGTTACTGTCGAAGACCCCTCTATAACACTATAGAATGGATTTGAACCTGACCACAAAACCTATAAATGTCAGAGGACTACAAGTAAGTTGCACAACACTCTTGGCCATTGGGACACAAAACTAACGGCAACCCGAAGAAAGACCAAAACCTGTCACTGGAACGGTGGACAGACATAATGGAAGGACAAACTCAAGCGACTGCAATATCACTGCTATCAAGCAGTGCTGAATAAAATGTGAGCAACTAAGTTAAATAAATTTGGTAGGAACAGAGACTAATAATTAGAGGCACTCAAACAATCAAATATTTAGGAATAACAAAAGAAAGAGAAATGTAACAAGCACAACGCGAGCAACAACCATTTTACATTTACATTAAAAGGGGCGACGCTGAAGTATACTACATCCCCATTTTCAGCAGGTCGGTATGGAAAGCGCGAAAGCATCAACTAAAATATTGCAAGGAAACAACGCACCCATACTCGCCAAAACATTCGCTATGCACGTTGTGGGCAATGTACTATGAACAATGAGGTGAGCTCAGGCAAATGGGAACCACATCAACACATCATCTAAAAGGTTCTGGGAATTTTCGTGAAAATAGCTCAAAATAGTTGAAGGAAAGGGAAATTGCTTGTAGCTGTTTGACAGAACCGACAACAATTGCACGATAGAATCAGGTAGAGCATTCTTTTCCATCTCGTTAGTATTAGAAACAATCTGCGTCATATGACTGAACCCGGCTCAAAAACGACTTTCAAATATTTGGCTTAATTTCACAACTACCTATTTACTATTACTCGACAAGGTTGCCATAAGCTTGCTCCCGTTGTGAAATGCGTTTCATGTCTCGTAAATCCTCCATTTGGCGTTTTATCACTTCTTGTAAAAGTCGCAATTCTTCAGAGGTGAACTTTTGCGGGGGTCCTCCCATGACATTCGTCGTGACCACTTCCATTTTCATATCCTCCACTGAAATTACCAAGAAAATGATCTCTGAAAAGGATGGTCGTGTCATCAGGTGTCACCAACCTTGCAAGCCAGCAGTGTTAAGGAGAGATAACACTTCTTTGAAGTCGGTATTGGCCAGCACTACTTTGCCATCGATGAATAGGCTCTTCAATTGATCACGTGAGTTCTTACCGTGTTTAAGAGCATCCTGAATAAGCACTTCAAAAGAGCCGTTAACGCGTGTTCTATTACAAATTGGTACCTCCTCTCTCTTTTTGTACAGCAACATCTCCGACATAGTGAACCACTGTTCGTGGAATACCTGCACACTGTATTGCTCTAGAAGGTTGACCATCTCCTGTATAAATTCATAAATGAAAATCAAGTATAACCAACTAATACTGAAAATGGGTAATACCTGTCGGAGCCGATTTTCGATCTCAGCCTGCACCTCTTCGGATCTCTTTTTCACTACAGACTGGTAGTAACTGGAGAAAAATCATAGAAAGTCTATTAGTTGAGCAGGCGACTAATATTCAATAAATCCGTAAGATAAAAACCGACTCATCGAACAAGACGTTGGACTTCTTTCCGGATCCTACACCAGCGAAACTAAGTGCATGACCTGGATGTTCCGCGTCAAACCTTTAAAAAATCTCCAAAGATGAGAAAAAAACTAAAAAACCTTTGTGCATTATTCATCGCTAAGCACCTGATCTGAGACAATTCGTAAGCGACGCAAAGACGGTCGAGCATTCTAGCCATGTCGTTCTCGAGGTTTCTGTGCATCTCCTCCGGAACGGATGTACGATCTTCCAGAAGAAGTAACTTAAATATACGCAACTCACTGAGATTCAAACAGGAAAGTTCATCGTGATTCAATGATTCAAAGTTGCCTAATTTGTAAAAGTTCATCAACTGCACTGAAAGAATAAACACCTCTATATACTTGTAGGCAGGAACGAGTTGGGTGCCAAGGGCGTTTTCTAATTCTTCTTCGACATGAACCAGTTCTATTCCATTAGAAAAACCGGCTCGAACTTGCATCATAAAAGCATTTACAACAGAAGCTCTAAAAAGAAAATATATGCATAAATGTAAACACGCTGTTGTGTTTTAAGGTTTTCCAGAGCATGCGTTAAAACTAGTACGAAAGAAGACACAGATTAAAACTAATAAGTAAGAATACACAGAATAAAGTGTCAAAACAAGAATACTTAGAGGGAATGTAGAAACATGAATGATGATATTTGTCATACTTCATTATTCTATAGTGAAGTGAGTATAGTGAAGGTTCGGCCAGTGTGGCATCAAAAGTAGAAAAACGTATGGTTCGAATTTCAAAACGAAAATAATCCACAGTAATGCCACAAAGACTAATTATCCACTTCAACCTGTGCTATGCATAATAAAATCTTGGCTTTAATCACGTCATAGGATCTTAGCATGCCTCTATTCTATGCACTACTTGCCCAATAGCTAATCTAACGTGCCCTGATTTCCTCAAAAGGAGAAACTGCAGAATGGTCCACAAGATAATATCGTCAACTGGCATGGGATAATAAGCGTCATTCATAATCAACTATTCATTCGCCATACAGTGGGCCGCTTTTTGATGCCGGTAAAGTAGTAGTAATAGTCGCAAGGTGATCAAGACTGTCTAAATGTCACAAATCTGCACATGTGTTCCTCACCCATTGAGAATAGAAAACTTTTTTGGAGACTTTGAAGGAAACCAATAAAAAACCTATAACACTCTACTATAAAAAACGGCTCTCGTTGCTTTTCTTAATACGAATATACTGATCACCATGCGAATCAGACAACAGTTATTGTGTAAAAACGTTTAAAACATAAACGACGTAGTAATACCCACGCTCTAAATCCGAATAAACCGTTGCCATAACCAACATTTCTGGCGAACTCCTCATCAAGTGTATCTTCACCATTTGGTGCTACGAACAAGGGTATATCTTGTAAAACCGCTGAGCGCAACTAAAAATGGTAAAACGGTGTATGATTTCGAAAGAAAAGAAATGTGAAACTCCAACATTATTGCCAAGGCCACCATGCAGCAAAAGGTTTTCGTTGGGATTCCAAGGGTTACCACGTAGGAACTTGAACATGCGCAACGCCAGCGCCACGTCTGGATGGTTCTTAAGTAATTTTGAAGCAGCGTTGTAGTATCCATTCATAATCTGAACATAGAAACTATAATTTCATCAAATCAAAAGCAAAAAAGCAAACAGTCACATCAACATAATCCAGTGATTTTGGAAAATGCGTTTTATTCCATGACCTATCGTGAAAGTAATACCATAGATTGCCAGCATCTTGATCGCGTTCGCTCATGTAATCGAAATTATCTGAAGTTTTCTAATTAAAAAAAAGATTGTTTTTGAGACTGCAAAACCTTATAAGTGGAGGTGAAAAGGTTGAGAGCTCGCAAAAGTAAGGAAAGGATATAAACTACAGAGGGATATTAGGCAAGTGTGATAGGCAAGTGGTGCACTATCACAAACGCATGGTCAAAGGATCGAAACTCAGATCGATACCCGCCCAGGCCAACCAGCCCTTATTCCTCTGAGATCGGTCAATTAGTCTCTAGCTCGTTAAAAGCAACGGTTTGAACACCGAGACTGGGCACAACTAATCATTGTATAGGTCATATACACGCTCGATTCTGCACTACGATTCTGAATGAATGCCGAATGCGAAGGCACATCCCAAAAAAAGTAATCAATTAACATTAAAAGACTTAAGACTCTAAAGAGAGGAAAAAGCAAGGGTGATCATTATAAAGACTCAAAAATTGATTGCTTCGATATTCTCTTTCTCTTCGAACTTTGAGAAGGAAAAGCAACACGAAAGGGTAGCCTCAATGAGCAAAGACGCTCTGATAAACTGCTAAAAGTTGAAAGCCCAATTCACCAATACTCGTGATTACAAGCAAATCATAATCGCAGGTACATTACTACTATGTAACCACTAAAACAGAGATAATTTTACTTCTATAAAAAAAATGAGTATTAGGGGCTAGGGAGTGGGCAATGAAAAGAAGCTGACTCATATCCCGGGCTCGAACAGCAGCCCTGCTTTCCTTCCTCACCTTCTCATATCACGTTATAATAGAGGGTTTCTTTAGTTCCCTTCACTGCTTTATCGTGAGCGAAATAGGGATCGAATTTCCGGTGCTAAAATCTACCGAAGAATTAGGGGAGTACGGGAACCACTCACAGTATATATCGTTGATATCGTCGATTTCACGCGTCAATGTGTCAACAGTGTCAGAAATCCCATCCGGAGGAACATCACCCAGGCGACCTGAAGGAAAACTACAAATTACAAGAGGAAATTTATAAATTGGTTCTAAAGGTACCATGCAGAGTGGCACGTATATAGTCCCATGCAACTGTGTGGTACTCATTATCAACATAGGAACGCAATGCTGATTTTTCCACTGATGAGTCTCTGAGAAGTTCAGTTCGTCGCAAAGCAGCACGACGACGTTGTATCCGATGCAGGGTATCCAATAGTTCTTTAGCACGTACTACGGCTTCTTTCTAAAATTGCAACATCAACAAAGAAAATACCAGTGAAACATAACTGAACCTGAACTGACTTTTGCCGCTCGTTTGCGAATAGTCTCCTCCAAGAACTTTTCAATTGCTTCTTTGGATACAAACGGTTGACATGCAATTTTATTCGGTTTAATCTAAAATCCAAGAAACTTTTTAAGGCTATCTCAGTCAAGCCAGAAAAAAATCAGAAATTAATTTGAAAGTGCATCATAAACCGATTTTTCTGCTACATGTGAAGGATTGAAGGATAAAGTCTTGGGCGTTGATCTATCACGTCTGAGTGATGTGCCCACGCCTTCAACGTAAATTAAGTGGCCTATTGAATGCGCACGTGGCTCATGCAATGACCAGTGGTGCTAAGTCGCCGTACAAGTCAATGTTTTTCTCCTAGAAGACGAAAGATGAGTACGTATGTGGCCTATACAATGACTTGCGGTGGTCAGCCGATGGGCAAATCAACGCTTTTATCCTCCCAGATGAGTCTGGCACTAATCAACCAACTCCGGAAGGATGGAAGACTCGGCTGGCCTGACGGATATTGATCCAGGATTCGAACCCGTAACAATGCTTGTGCGATAGTGCGCCCTTTGCCTTGATACATATATACCTTGCTCACAAGACCGTAGTAGGATGAGGAACAAATCGTACGGTAGTTTTCGTAGAAACTCAGTTATACAGAACAAGAAGCCAAACAAGCTAATCGGTTTCTCATGACTGACATGAGATGCATTTTCGACTCAGGAAGGATTTAATCTACGCATCGTGCAATTCTTGCAAGTGCCCTCTTTCTAATCTTATACAAGAATGGTTGCCAGCGCAAACAACTGTTAAAAGAACGGAATGTAAATTATGACTTCTATACAAGAAAAAAACCCAGTTAAGTGAAAACCAACAAAACTGCGTGCTGTCAATAATTTCACATCAAACTGACCAGATTAGGAGGCATGAAAGCAGAAAGGCTGCACAGCGAGCCAACTTTGACAGTGATCACATATTCACAAGAAGCAGTCTCCTCCACGTGGTCAATATATGCCTCACTTGTTGATAATTGAGGATCGCATTCGTACTACAAGAATGACAAACTTTGGCAATAGTATTAAGAGCCAAAAATCATCGAATCCAATCAACAATACGAGACTCATCGAGCCTCACCAAATACTATGATAAAACTCATATGTGCCACGAATGTTTGCCTTCCGAACAAAGGCACATTTTCAAAATGATTTGACGCCTTTTAAGCATTAGTCCAATCGAAAATCGTTTCACTATTCCTGTTCACATCTAGCCCATAGTACCCGACCGACCGAAAATTCATTGAAAAAGAAAGTGCGGAAGCACTTTCCACAATCAAAACTTTTCGAAATAAAGTCACAACACAGTGCATCATCTGAAAAAAGTAAACACAAATAAATTCTCACCCTGACTGCGGTCTTCCTAGGCGACTTCTTATCAGGGAGATCGCACAAAGTGCCACCTTCGTAGTGCTCCTCGAGATACATCAGCCTTTCAGTTGTGGAGGTCTAAAATTGTAGTAGCATCAACCATATATAATGAAGCACTGAAACTTTTCCATTATGCCCACAACAAGCCTACTGCCAAAATGTAGCTTCCTTCTACTACTGCCGAAAATAGCCCACATAAAATGGGATATGCCCTATTCAAATGGGATGCCATCTTTGTATGAAGGTAATGTCAAAATGATAATTATTTCGAAATTTTGGTTCGCTGAAGGCTGCTGCAATCACATGAAGGGAAACTTCAATAAGACAGTCTCTGTCAGAGCAATGTGCTTGCTGTCGATTTACTACTACAAAGAGAAAAGCGACCCGAAGAGAGATTAATCGCTTCAAAGAGAGTAAGCAGCTATAAGGTTCGTATAGTACAGGTCTGTAGAAGAAAAACAGTACAGGTCTGTAGAGGAAAAATAGACTAAGAAGAAGCGGAGACGGTGGCGCAGCACAGCTGAAAAATGGAACTCTGACCTGATATTCTGGAACGTCGTACTTTCCAAGGAAAAAGCCAAGCGAATTGGTTACTTGTTGCGCCTCGTTTTCTGAAAGTTTCATAAAAATTCTTCCTGAAAAAATAATAGAAAAACTTTACAAGTAACACACATACTTGCTCCGTGCCATTGTTTGACGTCCTTGCCTCTGCAGAGCTTGTAATTCCACCACCCGTTATCCTGAAACAGCAATGAAAAGCACTGCAAAACGATGAGACATTGGTCTGCTTTACTGAACATGCGACATGGATAGCACATATCAAAACAGTCAAATTACCTTGCTGATGCAGTTCTTGACATAGAAACTAGCCGAAACCAACTCAGCTAAGTACTTTGGATTATAGCTTTCTGACTGCACCTTCTCTGGAGCCTGGACTTTTGGTATTTTGCAAGCGAAATTCTGGCCTTTTCTGCTTTTGATGAAGACATACTCCTTATCACCAACCTATACTGATTGATATTAACAACTGAAGGGGTAAAAGGAAAAATTCACTGACGGTTGGCAGATCAGCGAGAATCTTTTCCAGAATACTGTCCTTATTTTGTAGAGATACAGTACTTAGATTGAATGATGGATCAATTCCAGCCAAAACAGAAGAGATGTCTGGCTCATACAATGTGCTCCTAAATTTCATGAAATACATAGCGGAATTGCAGCTGATCTTTCCGTAATTATGAACGAAACCCTTGCCTAACTTCATCTATATCGTAAAAACCAGAAGAAGAAAGAACTGGTAAAATGCATAACAATACAGACTGCAGTACAATAAATATAAATCGCATGACTCCTTACATTCGTTAACCTGCAAATCTAATCATAGTCATCAAAACAAGATGCTTGAGAATATTAATCAATCAGAAAATTACACAGAATATGGAGGTAATTCCGACAAATAACGGTGAGCAAATAGCCCATAGAAGCAAGAGGAAATGTTTATAAAAAAGAACATTTCTCCTCATTCTATTCACAATGATCGTTGAAGAGGTTGAAAACAATTAACAATGAAATTAATGAAGACAAAGGACTGAAAAATTAACAAAGAGCATTTCATAGCTAAATTAGACCATGTCAGACCAATGAACCTGTACATCTAAAAAATAATGAGCGGGCGAAGAGATCAAATCGCCCTGCATAAACAGAAACCAGCACGCGATAATGATCACCGTCAAGCGAAATGAATATTACTCTAATAAATTGTCTCATTCATTTTCTTCCTTCCTTCAGCAGCTTCCTAGAAAAAACAAAGAGTAAAACACGAAATAAAGTTAAGTGGGCAAGTTCATGAGCTACACATACCCGGAATCTTTCCTCAAATAGTGAAAGCTCAGCGATAAGATCGGTAATAGCATTGATTAGAGCATCTGCTGGAGTGGTTTGTCCGGTTGTTTGAACACGTAGCAATATCTAAATCACAAATCAGTGATAGTTTCGCTTGAAGATTAAGATACCAATTTCGACAATGACTGTAAGCACACTGATTAAAGAGTTCGCAACTGTCAATTTGGTCATCACACATGGCGAGATCTTACTGGCTCAGCTGCTTCCAAAACTCAAGAAAAAGAAAAAATCAGTTAGTTCTTCATTATCCAAATTTACTATATCCGCTCATATCATCAAATCAAGGCACTATTCTAACGACTCTTCCAATAATACAAACAAAGTAGAGTTTAAACTCATGTATGAGCCGAAGGAATGTGAAAAAAAAAGAAAAACTGTGATAAGAGAATATTTTTATAAACCGAAAGAAATAATACCTTATGTTCGAGAGGATGAGGATTTTTATATCCAGCGAACAAGACCATTGGATCCTTCAATAACTGGCTGAAATAACCATATAAATGCGGTAGCTTCAGTGGAAAATGCTAGCCTCGAATGCCACGTCATCACAAGCAAGCCCTACGTGCTGCAGTGCTATTCCTCGCATTGACGTGGAATATGAGGAAGAGATTATGTGAATCGTGCCATTCTTTTCATGGAACAACTCAGAATTCATCACTCAGATCATTAACCTAATAAGCAGAGACTGAAATTCAAGTAAGAAATAAGCTTGCCCAAAACAACACTCATCAAAGAGCTAATAATAGGTGAGGGTCACTCGAAGAGTTTTTTTTTGCAGACGACGCCCCAGACCCCAGACCTTACATTCACGAAAATAAAACATTTACCATCAACTTATTCAGAATCAAAGAACTGTTTTTGTCAGAGAAAGAAGATCTACGAGGACTAATAATATGATTATTCGATAAGCGATAACAACTAATATTCACTTACTGCTTGAGCATATTCCCCAAAGTGTGATCTTCCTTGTTGATTGTGAACACTGCAGCATTAGGTACCTGGAAGTAAAGTCCCGCTGTAAGGCTCCAATATAGAATTGAACATATTTATAGAAAAATAATTGACCTTGGTGTCATTTTCAACTGATATTTTTCTCTCTCCATCAAAAATCAAGAATGATTCGAATGCAGCGGGAGCGTTCATTGTGTAGCACGGAAAATTCTATGGGAAATCTGAAATTTTTTCTCGAAATTAACAACAGCTCATATTCTCAGTCATCATACGGCCATATAGAAAGTGAAAAACGAATTTGGAACACGATCAAGAACAACGAAAAAGAAAGCGTGAACTTAAATGTGCATACTGCAACTGCGGAAAATCCTTGAGCGGACGTAGGGAATTGAACGAAGGAAAGGACGGTACAATGCAGGTGGGATGTGAGACTACTGGATGTTTTCGTTCATTTCCATTTCTCGGAGGAGGGTTTGCGTAGTTCACACTCAGCAGACACTCCCAAGACCACTGGTATGGTCAAGAGGAATGAGTCATTCACTTCCAGGATGTGAGCTACATTGCCTCCTACCATTGCAAAGCGGATTCAAGAGATCCTTTGTACTACAGTCATAAGAGCATATGAAAAAAGGCAACTCGAGAACTGTTGTCAGTTTTTCAGTAGAAAGCTGGATGACCTCCCAGAAATCAAAATGGATGTCTCAGGTGGCGACCATGATCACCGCTACACTACAGAATCGGAGAATCTATGAAGAAGATAAGATATTACCGGCCAGACTTGCCTGCAAAAAAGGTAACATCATAACTCAAGTTCTGTTCTCAAGCAACCCCAACAATTCCTTTAACACGAGCTTGACAAACTCTTAAGCTCGTCAAAAATATTATCGATAGCGCTTCTCCTTTCCCGGTTCAATTTTGCCTCCTTGGTTTAGGGCATAGTATTGAAAATGTCCACTTGATGATTGGCTGTGATCGGGCAAACTTAACTTTGGGATGAATTTAACGTAGTTTCGAAAGTATTTGATCCTTCGGGAACCTTGAAGTTTTCAAACAAATCCATAGTAACAACTAACTGTTGTCTCGCCCGTTTCGTAGGGTTTCTTAGACTCACGGGTTTGAATCCCAGATCGATACGCTTAGGCAAACCAAACCTCCCATCCATTCGATTCCGGGTAAATTGTACCAGGCTCGTGGGCGGATGAAAGCACTGGCTGCTTTCATAGTCCACGATTTGGCGAGCGACCGGTCGCACGATCGGTTGAGGATGCGGCGCTAGCCATGAGCGCTGCCGAGCGACTGGTCGCCGGTCGCTTGCGAGATAGGTCCGCGACCGGTCGCTCGACAAATCGTGGACTATGAAAGTAGTCACTGACTTGTAGATCGTATGGCTGCCGCAAGTCATTACAGGACACATACGCATTCAACGCCACTAAGATTCTAAATGGAAGTCGAATGCGGGGGAGCATCCCTCAGACGGGATTGATTAAAGCCAAAAGACTTTATCTTTTATCTTATCCCAAAAACTCAAAGATCCAGGATCTACCTCACTTGGCTTACATGGATCACTCGGATAAAATGTCGACTGATGCCCTCACTGTACCCAACATGTCGACTGGTGCCCACACTGTACCCAACTTAACAATCGATGCCGAATGACTTGCCACAAAATTCTCTGAATAAAAGTAAAGGGATTAAATTGCTCCGGAATCCTAAATTAACTTCAAATGCGCAGTCTATCTCTGGAAGTTGAAAAATCTTAGTCTTTGCCGAGAGTAAGCTGCTCTCAAAAAGAAACATCCTTCAGCAATACCGGATAGACGGAGAAAGCTGTGCCGTTAACATTGGGATAAGTCAGCGAGGGATGTTTCCTAGGGATACGTGGTGGAGAGCAGTAAAATCGTGTCGCATTTTGTTTTCTTGGACCTGTTTTGGACCTTCTCTCAGGAGGAGCCTGGTCTCAAGAAGCCACCTATGACACAAGATCACTTCTACCAGTTACTATAAAAAAGAGATTGTCATTTAATGACAGCGACCCCTGCTCGGTTCATTGCTTGTTTGCGAATGAAGCCTGTGGGGAGATGTGTGTACGAGAGGAAAACCGTTATCATTAAGCTTGAACCAGGTTTTCCAAGAAAATCACATTTGTGCTCTCAGCCCTTCTCCATATCTGCAGTGACCCATATCAAAGGAAGATCTGGTGTGAAAGGCCCCTCAGCCATTATCGACAGATATGAAGTGATCGATTGACCTTTGCCACTCTTTGGTACTACGCCACAAGACCAGGATCATCTTCCAGTTGTTGCATTTTTCTTCACCCTTTGTTCTTATTCTTCTAGATTTTTCTTGCTATAAACTGCCCCCTACTTCACAAACCCCAGTGCCTGTAACTTTTTGAGTGTTCGCCCATAAATCATAATCAGATAGTGGTGATTA